TTTGTTTCCATAGTAACGTATGTTATAGTTGATTTACCAAACATGTTTATCATGCATTTAAAACACCAGGCCTTCAACTTTCAGAAACAGTCATTGCTACTTGTTTGCTTTGCTGCAAACGTTAACTGTGGGACTCTGAACATGTTGAAAAATGCCATTTTCAAACTTTAGGACATGTTGCTATGGTAACCATAACACGTAGCAACCAATTTTTGCCTGATTTGAGTTTACGGTATCAAAGGCTTTTATCATAGAGAGTTTGGAGAAATTCTGAGACTATGCGTGCAACGGCTCCGATATAAAAGTTCAAGTTATTACAGAGAATGGCTCTTAACGTCAAATTTAACGTTATGTTAAACGTTTTATTGAGACCAAAGAGTTATCGCCCCCAGTGTGTTGTACGTCTTTAAATGCTTAAAAAGATTGTATTTTCAATGAGAAAAAACAAAAAAGTTATCGAAAAACTTATTCAAGCTATAAAATTAAAAATCTGATTTAAAATGAACGTACCACAAAGAAAGTAACTAGCACAATCATGACTGTGAATTTTCACCGTTCACGATCCAAAGCGAAAGCGGAAGTTGCAATGCGCATGCGCAACTGTGAAGCAGCAGAAAAATTTGCCTGACGAATGTACAGATTTCATTCCGAATTTTCTCTGATCTTACACGTTAGTCTATTGAGCTCGCTTCGCGCCGCTCGCTGCGCTCCCTATTACTGCATCTTTGCTATGGCATATGTCAACTTCGCTCGTTTCCATTTGTATTAATAACTGTCCATTTGTTTTGTATATCATACAAAATTATGTATGCTATAACATCAGGGACGTATATATACTAACCTACTGATTAAACATTGCAGTTTTAATGATACTTAATAAACATCTATATCCATTAGTGTTCAAACGCCGCAAACATGATGATGGGCAACCTATTTAGTTCAAATCTTATGAAACGTTTAAAATATTTCCGGAAAAAATATATACATGTACTTCCATATTTCAGTCTTCAAAAATGAGCTCTGGTTCTTCATCATGGCAGGAGAAAAGAAACAGACATGTTATTTGCCGAGAGATGAAAAAAAGGTTCATATAATAGGTTTTTGTTAGTATATAGGTCCCTGATAACATGAATATTTTATCATTTTACACAGTATAAATGGAGAAAAATCTAGTGTATACGTGACAAATAAAAAAAAAATCAAAATTGTATATTCTACAATAGATCCATAAATGAAAAATTATAAAATCAAAGACTTAAATATTAAATTATACAATTAGGCCCTATTATTCTTTTTTTTTTTTTTTTTTTTTTTTTTTTTTTTTTTTTTTGGTCAATACGATGATTTAGCCAGCCGAGGAATACAAAATTCATCGAGCCCGAAGGACGAGGTGAATATTGTACTTCGAAGGTGGCTAAATTATCGCACTGACTGGAAAAAAACCGTGTCTTTTTTTTTTTTCTTTTTTTTTTTTTTTTTTTTTTTGTTATTTATTTATTTATTTATTTATTTATTTTTTTGTTTTGTTTTGTTTTGTTTTTTTTTGTATTTTGTTTTTTGTTTGTTTTTATGAAGTCCTAGTGAAAAAAGCGGGGCAAAAACAAAACTAAACCAAAATAATTAGATCAATCTCATGATCAAAGACTGCCACATCTGTTTCATATTTGGACGTTTTACTGACAATAGACGATAGCGCATCAAAAACCATCTGCTAGGTCATTGCTTTTATACTAAATTTGACTACGGAGTATTCCGTCTACCTGATCAATACGGCGGCTCACGGCGGGTGTAACCGGCTTGGATGCTTACTCCTCCTAGACACCTAAACCCACCGCTGGTATTTCCAGGGGTCTGTGTATATGGCCTGTTCACGATTCGCTTTGTCTAATATTTATGAGATCTCTAATTCATTCATGAATGCGTAGACAATTCAGTGTGTAAGTAATTGCCTAACAATTGGTTTGAAAAACGTCAGTCAGCATTTGACTTAATGATATATTGTATTTGCTGACAAGGTCATTGTATCATCCATAGAACTTGCGAAATATCGACTTCAAAAGAGACTTTTGATATCCTTGTTTCATCAACTTGTTTTTCAATAGCTTGCCTCGTTTAAGAAATTGTTCCTACGTAAAGCATACTCTTGCGTATTCGAATCAACTAGGAGACATAAACTTCATATGCAGGTGATAAGATTATATTGCTACATAAATAAGGAGAGTTGAATATAGAAAAGTTGAAGTCATTACGTTTATCATAAAGTTTTGTTGTTAGGTTACCATTTACGCCTTTTTCTAGTAAAATATCTAAAGATGAAACAGATGTGTCAGACTTTGTGGTATCTTTTCTTTCAAGTTCACTGGGATATACCTTGTCGACATATGAGTGGAATCAAGTATTGTTAATTGATAAAACGATGTCGATATATCTAAATGTCAAGCTGAAGAGCACAACAAATGGTTTTCTTTTTTTTTTTTTTCAAGTAGAAGTTTTTGAATAAATTCTGGTTCACATGAATATAAAACCAGGTCTGCTAATAAAGGGGCGCAATTGGTGGGAATTCCGACAGATTGTTCAAGACTTGATCTTTAAAAACTACATAGATATTGTCAAAAAGAAACTCAACATCTTTTTAATACCAATTTCGGAGTACTTGTGTGTACAATCACATGTTTTTTAACACAATAATTTTTGTAAATGACCAATGACAAGGAAAGTAAATGTACGACTTCCATTTTTATTGAAATAGCAGCTCTCTATGATGTCAAAAGTCTGAGAACTTAATGATGGGCTATTAATATGATGTAAATTTTTTTTTCTAGAATTCTAACTTTCATTTACAAAATAGAAGGTAAATTAAAGTGCTTGTATAGAAGCTGCTGGCCCTTGTTGTTTATTTGAAATATATGCCCCGATATTCTTTAATTAAGTGAACCCTGGGTTTCACCAACATAAATAAGACCACAAAGGGTACATTCTATTTCTATTCCGTAGACAAGAGTTTGAACACATTTTATTGTATAAATAATATACAAATGGTTTGAACACAAGTTCTAACAACTTACGAGGTTCTCACCATAAATGGCTACAACTGTCAAGGTCTATATATAGAAAAAAAAATATTGATATACAAACATGTTTGTTTTAAACATACATTAATTACGTGATAAATATAAAACTAACTAGACTTTTAGTGTAAGGCTGTTATAATTAATTGAATCTGCCAGAACCTCTTATAAATTTTTGTACAGATTGAAAAATATATTTATTGATTTCAACATTTTGTGACTCATCTCCCCACAGAAGTAGGTGACAATCAATAATATTCAATTTAGTGTTTGGTTTAATAAGACACAGTAGGTTTCTAAATAGTTCCTCTCTAGCATGTTGATATTTATTACATACAAAGAAGAAATGATATGGTCTTCTGGTGTACCACATGAACAATTAGGACTCTCACTAATGTTTCTTTTATAAAGATCATAATTTAAAATACAATTGTGTCGTAGTTTAGTATGTATGATACTAAGTCGTCTGTTACCATAACAGAAATAAGGAGGGGGTCTGCTGGTTTTTTATGTATTTTGTTTTTGAAACTACTAAAAGTTGAGCTGTTTCTTGTGGTAATACTTAAACTATTCCATTGGTTTACTGTATCAGGAACAAAAGATTTCGTATATATTTCGAGTAGACAACAGTAGATTTGCAGTTCAAATTTTCCATGTTTTGGTATAATTTAAGCTCTGTCCAGTAAAATTTCTAGTAAAAGAACAGCTTGTACTCAAAACATCACAGGTTTGACAGTTTTTGACAGAACATTTGTAAATAGAAGACACGAGATCGGAAAAGGAATCTTCAAATATATACAATTTCAATTATACCAATCTTAAATTCATTTGGAGATAGGTTCAGTTATTTGAAGAGAGGAACAATTATTTGATTTATATCTATTTTCAAACAATTTACCTATCTTCAAGTCGATTGTACCTATCTCAAAATGAATTGAAGATAAGTTTAATTCAGTTCAATAAATCTTTAATTCATTGTGAGATAGGTAAAATTGATTTGAGAATAAAAATATAATATAATTGATAGATTGATTGTTTGTTGTTTAAAATCTCATTCGAGAATTTTTCACTCATATAGAGACGTCACCATATGCCGGTGAGGGGCTTCAAATTTAAACCTATACTCGGCACTCAGAGCCATTGAACAGTGAGGGTTCTTTATCGTACCAAAGTTTACCCTGACATGGGACCTCGATTTTTAAAGTCATATATGGCGTTTTTTTTTTATAAGTTCAGACGAACTATAAAATTAAAAAGATTTTTCTATTTGTTTTATTGCTTTATATAAAGATAGGACTTTCCTGTAAATTACACAATTTAAATCAATCAGGATTCAAAGATATTAGAAATTTAAAACATTAACCGATTTATTTACCGACTCCGCATTTAATTAACAGACAGTTTAAAATCAATTTAACTATGGAAACATGAGGTTATTCAAGTTCAAAGTCGGTGAAAATTTTAATTTGAATGTAAATAACATGTATCATGTTTATCTACACTCAATCTCGTATTTTTATTTTTTAGCTCAGATACGCCACATATAGCTTTAAGGTCTCATCCAAAAAGACCCGCGACTTTCACTTCTCGTGCCGAGCACTTGGGGAAGGAACAGTCTACCGATGTTAACGTCTTAGGTTTTAAGCGGCACGGCGAACGAAAATCGAACCAAGGCCTCCCGATCACGAAGCGAGCACCCTACCACTAGGCTACCGTGACCGATTTAACAGAATTGAAGACAGGTAAGAAAAGCAAGAATTAAAGATAGGTATAATCGATTTAAAGATAGATGCAATGCAATTAAACCTACACATAATTGGCCTGTAACTATCTTCAAATCCTTTGTGGAGATATTTTAATTTACCCATCTTTAAGGCAATTTAAATAATTCAATTTAAATCAATTGAAATAATTCAATTGAACCTATCTGTAATGGCACTAAAGAGGTGTAAATCATTTAAACCTAGATTGAATTATTTAAAGATAGGTGTAATTTTCTTTACACTGATTTGTAATTCATTTGGACCTATCTTTAATTTAATTGTACCTATCTTCAATTGCAGATCAAAAAATTAAGACATTACTCACATTTACGGGGTGGACACCTCGCGGCCTCTGTGTCAATGCTAACAACGATGTACTAGTTTCCATGTTCAGGCAAGGTGAACCAGACAAGGTTGTTCGATATTCCGGAGTAACTGTTATTCAAGAATTCTCTCGAGATTCTCAGGGAAACTTCCTCTTTCGGGATGCCTCTTTTGTTTGCGAAAATACAAATACAGACATTTGCGTTAGGGATGTAGAAACACGCTGCGTTGTTGTCGTCAAAAGCACAGGGGTCCCTCGATATAAATACAGCGGGCGTTCCCATTCAAAGTTTGAGCCTGGTTGTGTTTCATGTGATGGCCAAAGTCACATTCTGATTGCAGACAAAAATCAGCACTGTATACATATAATAGACAAAGACGGAAAATTCTTATCGCTCATCAACAAGCATTTTATTAAGCTTCCCGTAGGAATAAACGTGAGCGAAGATAACACACTGTATGTGGCTGAGCGGAAGTCTGGGAAAATCAAAGTCATAAAATACCTGAGCGATTAGTTAGGCATTGTAATCCTTTTAAAGGGTTGTGAAAACCGTTATTTTTTTTTTAATTCTTTGATTGAAATTTGGATTTGACAGTGTTTACTTCACTAGAAACAAAATATTTGATTATAAACAAAATATCTATACAGATTTTAGCTCACCTGAGACAAAGACTTAAGGTGAAATATCCCTCTGCTCTATAAACTTCATCAATTTCTTTTTAAATTCCCAACATTGATTTTCACCAGCAACAATATCATTATATTCAAATGGAAAATAGTTTGAAGTATGAAGCATTGCTTTCTTTTTCAGAAATGAATATTATGTCTAATCACGATATGAAGAAAATTTGATATGGTGAATAGAAAGATCAATAATTTATCTCAACATAAAATTAAAAATATGAGATATATATATGAAAATAATATTTACTGTCATACCTATTTAATTCATATTAGAAAACACAATGAAGTGTTGCTTTTTAAATCAGAATATCGCATTGTTTTTTGTGGTTGTAAAATAAATGCATCCATCTACAAGAGTTATCTTTCCATCTAGTGTAGTTATCTTTCTTCAGAATATGCTTTGAGAGAAAATATATTAATAAATTGATTATAAAAATTCAGCATCTAATAGAAAATAGAAATCAATATATGTAACATAGTTCAAATTTGATAGAAGTGACTGTATAATTATCCTCATTATTAAACTCTGGTAAGACAATTCATTGGATTGCTTGGAATAATTTCTTTGGAAAGTTATCTCTCTTATCAGAAGACATTACACCTTAAGTGAACTTTTCTGATCAAAATTTGTCCGTTGTCGGTCGTTGTCTAAAATCTTTTAAAATTTCACCTTCTTCTCCAGAACCAATGGACCAATTTCAAACAAATTTAACATAGGGTACATGTATCCTTGAGTAAAGAGGATTCACTTTTGTTCAAATGAAGGACCACACCCTCTTACAAGGGGAGATAATTACGATTTCGTGAAAATTCGGCGGCATATTTAGAAAATCTTCTTCTCATGAACTGCTGGGCCAGAAAAGAGAAAACTTAGTTGAGAAATTCATTATTATCATTATCATTACAGATTCAAATTTGTTCATACCATGACCCCGGATGTAGGACAGGGCGACTACAGGGGGCAAAGTTTTACATAGGAATATGTAGGAAATATCTTTAAAATTTTTCTCAAGAACAGCAAAGCCACTAATATAGAAGCATCCTCAGGTATAGTGAAGATTCAAGTTTGTTCAAATCAAGACCCCCGGGGTAAGATGGGACCACAACAGGGGATCAAAGTTTTACATCGGAATATTTAGAAAAAAAATCTTTTAAAGCACAGCATAGCCATTATTAGTTAGTCATATTAAAACAGAATCATCATCAGGTAGATTCCAGTTTGTTCGAAATTTGACCCTCGGGGGTAGAACGGGGCCACAACAGGGGATCAACGTTATACATAGAAATATATATTGGAAATATCTATAAAAATCTTGATCTCAAGAACAGCAAGCTCATGATCAATCATTTTTTTATGGAATTATCCTCAGGTAGTGTAAATTGATGTTTGTACAAAACATAACCCCTGGGTGTAGGGTGGGGCAGATATGGGGGATTAAAGTTTTACATAGGAGGAATATATATGAGAAGTCTTTAAATATCATGACCCTCAGGACTAGGGTTGGGCCGCGATGAGCAATCAAAGTTTCACATAGGAATACATTTGAAAAATTTTAATAGTCTTCTTTTCAAGAACAGCAAATTCATGATTTGTCATATTTATATGGAAGCATCTTCAGGTAGTGTAGATTGAAATTTGTTCAAATCACGGACGTCACGTGCCTGCCTTCAATAGATTGATTGATAGATTATTGTTTAACGCCGAGTCGGTAGTATTTCAGCCATATATACATGCGACAATACGAAAAGCAAAATTTGGACGGCAACATAAAGGTGACCACGACATTATTATCCAAATTCAAAGAAAAACTCCTGCCAGCGCTATTTTTGCTTTTAATTACCGATTTGGTAATTTGGAAATGGTGCCATTGCTTAAAATGGCACGCAAGGTCATCGATTTTAATAAAACTCGCTCAATGTTAAAGTTTGATACCAAAACATATATACCAAACAAAATCGTGTTTCTATCTGTCTAGGTTGCCATGGTAACGAATGGAAAAGACTGAAAAAAAAGATTTTCAGCTGTTTTGATCTTTATTGAGCCTTAGTAGAGACTAAGAAATCCAAAATAACAACTCTTCAAAAACATAGCACTTCAGTCGCCACTTATGCTATAAAAAATTATTTAGAGTATATTCTTAAGTTAATGAAACCCTGGATATATTTGACATACATATTTTAAAAATGCTGAAAAACGGTCAATATTTACTATTATTATACTTTCATGTTAAATACTATAATCTGATTGGTTTAGACGCATTTAACAATCCGTAATATTACCCTCAGCGTTAGCAACACAGTTGACAACGGGTAACATTACGAAAATGTCACATGCGTTCAAATCATGCGCGTACGGTTCACCATAGAATTCTAAAACGTCAGTTGTGCGTTTGAAAGAAGCCAAATAAACGACGTCAATAAAAGCTTGCGTCCGATATAGTATACTTGAAAACAACAAACGACAGACGAAACATCCTTGCGAGTGCAAACTTTAGATGATAAAGGACTTTTTGAGTAGCAAACAAACAATAAAGAGGTTGGTAAATCTTTTCCGAAACTTTCTTATTGAGAAAAATAGAAGCGGTGAGTTTGAAAGCTTTCTAAGCGTGAACTTATCGACGATCTCCGAATTTTTTTTATGACATCCAAAATCAATAAGACATTCAGTATAATAAAATAAATAGTGCACGTTTTTGAGGGTAACAGTTGAAATTGACAACCCTCGGAAAACCATTGTCAACCGACGCTGACGCGTCGGTTGACAATGGTTTTCCTTGGGGTGTCAATTTCAACTGTTACCCTCAAAAACGTGCACTATTTATATAATGTTAGGTGTTTAAGTATAATACAACTAGAGGCGGAAATATAGGGAAAACATGCGGTTTTCGGTGATTAGGAGATCTTAAATAGAACTTTTTCTGTGAAAATATAAAATAAACTGCTTCTCCATCCGTACGTGGCGTTACTTAATTGAACGACACTCGTAATTCTATATTTTACACAAATTACATGTATAAAAATGTATCTGTCAAATCGAGCATAAAATGCTCAGGTGAACATGTAGCCCATGGGCCTCTTATGTAAGAATTTCATATACTAAATTCATGACAAGTCTGAAATTACAGAATTTAATGATGCAAATTCTGTTCAAAAAGAATTTTTGAAAGATTTTTATTTTTAGAAAAAAAAAATTAAAAGAGGGGTGTACATTTTTGGCCCTTAATTGGAACTTGTTGATCGAATTTATTGCCAAAACAGCAAATATTATTATTTTAGTGCATAGCGTTTTTTATGAACTTCGAAAAAAATTATATGCAAACATGACAACTTTCGGAAATGAATGAATTGTGCAAACTTTCAGTAATTGGGTAGGAAAAACCCTTTCCGAACTCACATTTGTCAAAATCAGTCTCCACCCACAATTAATATTTTTTCCTGCCATATTTGGAAAAGATAAAGTTATGAAAAAAAATTGCAACGCAAATTTATGTAAAAAATAAAATTGTATTAAATTATAATTACATGTATAATTATTTTAAAATTACACCGCGTTTGGCGGGCTCTTTGCCATCTTTGTTTTTTGACACAAGAAATGTTATAAGGGGTCAACCCCCCCCAACCCCCCGGAAAATGCGGGTGGTTCCTCGACCCGAGTGGTTAAGATCCAAAGTGGTTAAGATCCAAATACGTGTTCGACTCGAGTGGTTTCGTTCCGAATCAAAGAGATATACAGTTTATAGATAATTTAAAATTCTTTTATTCAATTTCTTGTCTGCAAATGTAAACTTATTTTCATACAAATAACAAATTCTTGAATCTTTAGTTTCTCCTTCACAGCAGTTTTTGAGAGGATTAAAGAACTATGTGTGAATGTTATTCCGAACAAAAACCAGTGGACTAACACATATTCACATATAAATATAATTTCTAGCATAATAGGTTCAATTTCTGATTGTTTATATCCTCCTTTTTCCGAATAGGTGTTTGAAAACGTAAATAATATAGATTGTCGTTAGTATTCCTTAGATGTACAAGTATTACTCTATGTATTATATGTCGCAGTAAGCGCTGAGCAAAATGACCTCTCAATACTCAGTGACCATTAGTTACAAATACATGTCTAAATCTACAGGTTTCCACCGGCGGTTAGTGGCAACCCAAGATGAGTGAAAAATTCTCGAAGAGACGTAAAGCAATCAAACAACCAAAAAACGAAAATGTAACATCTATGGACGTTAGTTGATTATAATACTATATTCACTTTAAACTGGTCATCTTTCAGGAATATTAACCTGATCACTGAACTGAATTAATAAAATGCACGCTTCTCTCGACTCTCTTACAAGTACCGTCTAGTGATAACTGTCACTGATACGAACAGATTCTGCAATAATCTCACAGATTCTCTCAGATATTGTGTAAGGTAATGTGACTGAACATTTATTATATACAACATCTACAGATACCACATGAAGTTATCGACCAGTTTTTTTTTTTACATCCCTGCTGGGGGGGGGGGGGGGAGGGGGGTATAAATTGATAGGAATGTCCGTCCTCACTTCCGTTACACTTGAGATAGCCATCTCCTCGTTAAACCACTTAATTTAATTGCAATTTAATGAAACTTTCACGAAATCTTTTTGACATATATAGTCAGTGGTATTGCGCATCATCCACACAATTCATGTCACACTTTTTACAAATTCTTTCATTTCTTTCAAGGGTGGTTTTCTGTCGTTTGGTGTTTATAATTCTCTCCCAACTTTCACTTTCAATTCTGAGATTATTTGCGCTTTTTCTAAATTTACATTTAATTTTTCTTTATTCAAAACTTTTTAAAAATAAATATTTCAAAACTTCAA